AAAAATTGCAAAAATTTCTGAAAATTGCAAAAATCCATGAAAATTGCAAAAAGCGCAATAATGCTTGAAAATTGCGAAAATCTCAAAAATGCCTGAAAATTGCAAAAATTCCTGAAAATTGCAAAAATCGCAGAAATTCCTGAAAATTGCTAAAATTGCAAAAATTCCTGAAAATTGCAAAAATCGCAAAAATTCCTGAAAATTCCTGAAAATTGCGAAAATCGCAAAAATTCCTGAAGATTGTAAAAATTGCAAAATTCGCAAAAGGGGTGTCAAAGATTTGAAAGATAATCACTTTTCCTGTCTTTCTTGCGTCCACCTTGACAGCCAGCCGCGTATTGACCCAGACAACACAGAATATCCTATGAATATTCTGACAATGTTCAAATATACTCATTTCAGAATATTCTTATGAGTAGCATGCTCTCGATTTTTGTTTGGCTATTATGGCTATATGATTCGCTGAGTCGGCGGTATTAGGACTGCTGGCTGGAGACTATCCTGCACTGATGAGAGTCCAAGAGCCAGGTATGTATCCAATCCTACAACACTCTGTATCTAGAGATTATTAATAGTAGATTGTTTTATTAGGATCAAAAGTAACACTTTGTTTGACAAGCGAATTTTGCATTTGCGAGGCGGAGCGTTTAGCGAAGCCGAGCGAAAGCAAAATTTGCGAGTCGAACAAAGTCACTTTTGAGTCGAACAAAGTCACTTTTGATCCGAATGAAACATGCTATTTTTTCTGCAACCGAAACAATTAACTCAAATAAACATGTGAAGTAACCACCAATGCCGTGCCATATGTATGCGATGCAACAAATATTGACAAATAATCCATGTGGTGAGAATATTCTACCTGCATTAACAGCAGGTTAGGTTTTCTAGGATGTTCGAATTCTAGTTTCAATATAAATTCAACCACAGAGTGATATATTTGTGTATGGACCAGGTGCTCTAATGGCAAATACCGCGCTAGTGCCAGCTATAGGAACAAGACGTGGAAAATGTTAGGTTAGTGAGCATATCAACCATGATAATAGTGATTATTTATTCCTCTCCATACCACACTGTGTTTGACTCGATAATCAAATGAAGCTAAACAATATCGTTGTTTGAGACTAAAACTATTGCTTGCCGTGATTATTCAAAAACAAGTTATCCATCCCGAGAATAACGAATGAAATACAGATCAAGCAAGAATTTCAATCTTGAAGGCTTCCCTGATCAAAACAAAAATACTTAACTGAGATGTTTATAATTCCAATACTAAACTATAATAAGGTGTATTTATATCTCCAGCATGGGTATGAAATGCCAAATCTGCTTAAATCGGAAACAAATCAGGTATGCGTCTCAACCCAAATAACCAACCGTCACAATGTTGTTTATTTTTGATGACGTCCAGTACATCCTTTTTAGTTCCTAGGAGCTAAAGTTCAACTTTAGCTCCTAGGAACTAAAATTCAACTTTAGCTCCTAGGAAATAAATATGTTGCCTAGCAACATACCTATTTTTGTGTCAGTAATAGAAACGTCAATTTAAGAGCTAATTTTGGTGTCAAAATGGACGACTTTTGTGTCGGTTGCAGAAAAAAATATAAATTGCGACTTCAGAGACGTGCCCAAGGGGACTTTTGAACCGTTCCATTCGCTATGAGTTTCAGTCTATAATCCTAAAAAAAAAACTAGGGTTGGGACCGTGACCAAGCACTGGCAAATTCGCTAGCAATAAAATATAGCACCGCAAGATTACCATAACACAAGCAATAAGACGAAATTGCACAATCTCTCGTTACACTTCGGCCGACGTTTTGTATGTCATGGGAACCAAACCACAGACCAAACCAAACCGTTGCCACGACGTTATCGCTATCGAGAGCCACATCAAAAGCCGCACATACCGATATCGTAGACCTACGCCCACAGTCATAATTATCTATCCTGTTATACACTCACCGAGAAAAAACAGCCAGGAATAGTTATTTATGTACCAAGGACGAAGTTCTGTCTACTATAGTCGAGCCTGCAAATTGAGGCCGAGGGCCAGCCGAGGCTATTAAGCAGGCGAGGCTAGACAATAGACAGTTTTTTGCGAGGTGCATATCGAATTGATATCTTCAAAAGTGAACGAGATATTTCAATTATTTAAAAATAAAAACTACGAAATTGCCACATTGATCAAAGAGGAATGAAATGTTGAAGAAATACAAAAAGCTCAGTCATTAAGTGAAAAGTGGTTCAAAATTTACAACCGCATTTATATTTTGTCAAGGAGATAAAGATTGGGGACACTTGTCAATTATGAAACACCCTGTATATTTATGCTAAATCCTGAATGCGGAGTTTAGCATCACTTGATATGAATCTATGTATACAGATTACAGGGTGTCTCAAAATTGCTAGGACACAGAGCTACCACGTGTAACACAGTTCAAAATAAGTTGGGTTATTTATATAAAAAAATGAACCGTTTGTCCGGGAGACGAGTTCGAAGTTCAAAAATGAGTGGAACAAATTGGATGAAATTTGACAAGAGGATAACCCTTCTTTCAGTTATCGAAGAAACCTGAAAGAAAGAAATTGTAGAAGGGTTGAAACCACCCTCACCCCCTGACATATCATTTTCAGAACATTCCTAAGGGTGGTAATGAAGTTCGCAAATTTCGTAACGAGATGGCTGATTCATTAACTTCATTTAGTACTTCCTGTGAAAATTTTTTATCCCGTCTCTAGTTCCGAAAAAAAAAATGTTCTCCTAAATAATGCTAAACTGATACTTATGCAGTGGAAGCAAACGAATTGTATTAATGATATTAAACTTCTATGTACTAGGAATATCTGTTTGGATTATTTGAGAAAACAATTTCTCACTTCGGATGGATGACAAAATTAAGATAATAAATCAGTCCTCACGCTCAGGAAATTCAAGAACCCTGAGAATCTCCTGAAATAAATGTCAGGGGGTGAGGGTGGTTTCAACCCTTCTACAATTTCTTCTTTTTGAGATGTATCACACGTGGTAGCTCTGTGTCCCAGCAATTTTGGGACACCCTGTATATTCTACTACTCGTGAATATTATTTGAATCTGCTTGCCTATTTTTAGCCCCGTCAAATTTATTCTTATGTCACCTTTTGCACCATTACATGAACGTGGGTACCCATTGTTTGAAGGCGCTAGTTTGAATAAATTCTCTTCTTGAGTTCAGCCCACAGAACGGAGAATGAAGAGATGGATATCATTGCAAAAATTATTAATAGGTAGGTACTTAATGCCTATGATTACCTGATAGTTTACGGTGTTTTATTTCCTTGACTTGACAACGATATTGCATATGTTCGCTCTCTTCCTGATTCTCACACTAACAACTGAAAAATATACGGTATTTAAGATTGCAGATAGATATAAGCTCTTTAATAATTCATTCTGCACCGTCTAATGATATGAAACTCTACAGATTGTTTGTTCAGTTCAAACAATCCCAATAATACTGAAAAATTGGAACCTGTCAATAGGCATACCAAGAGCCGACACTGGTGGATCATCCCTTCCTTAGAGTGACTGCATTTGGTAGTCAGTTGAATTTTTGAGTGAATTTCTAATAGAAATTGGGTGTTTCGTAAAAATTTCTCAACAATCGAACAAATCAGAAATAGTTATTTATTTTCCTAAGCAGTCAATCTACATTTGCTGCCGTGGGAAACATATAATTTTTTTTCCAATGTTGTAATAGTAGATTTTTTTTATTTGGATCAAAAGTAACACTTTGTTTGACAAGCGAATTTTGCATTTGCGAGGCAGAGCGTCTAGCGAAGCCGTTTCCATGGAAGAGAGTTTGTTTCTCCTCAGCAGATCCAACACTATGTGCTGAGACAATTTCTGAAATCATCATGTTGGGGATGCAAACCTACATACCGAACACTGCAAGGAGAACATATTCCGATAAGGCCTGGTTCAGTAGAAACTGCTCTAGAGCTATCGCTTCCAAACATGCAGCATTCAAGTGCGTACTAGTATTACTATCAGCAATAACCTTTCTTGGGAAAATCACGTGAGATCCACTGCTAAAATTACATCCCAAAAACTTGGTCTTCTGTTTCGGGCCAGGAGCTATTTCACTTCCAGTCAGCTGCTTATGACACAGAGCCGACCTGTCTTGGAATACTGTTCCCATATTTGGAGTGCAGCACCCAAACATACCCTAAAACTGTTGGGTTCTGTCCAAAAAAGGGCAATTCGTCTCGTGGGTGATGCCTCGCTCACAAACTCACTCACTTCTCTGGAACACCGTAGAGAAGTTGTCGATCTGGCTCTATTTTATAGATATTTTCATGGACGATGCTCTTCTGAAATATCAACAATTGTTCCTCCCTTGGCAGTCCCCGCGAGATTAACCCGTGGAGTTGAGGCCTCGCACCTCTTGGTGGTCACTTCTGAGACCCGCAGAACATCTCTTTCCAAATACTCGTTCATCCAACGAACAGCAAGGCTCTGTAACACATTGTCAAAGGAGGTGTTCCCCATGGCATATAACCTCCATAAATTTTAGAAGAACACCCATTCCTACCTCATTTTCCTTGGTTCTCACGATGTTCTCTGAACATTACAGGATATCCCTTTTCGTGGGAACCAGAACATGAAAAAAAACTTCCAAGAGAAGTATTGCTGAGTAGGCTGTTGGAGTGTTGAGTTGAACCAATCACAGAATACAGAGAGATCTATGAAGATGTAGAGATGTGAAGAAATGTAGTAGGCCATATGATGACCGTAGGGACCATGAGCACAGCATGAGTCACGTGATCACGTGACAGGCAGATAGCCTACGGGCATTGTCCATTGTTTACGGAGCACATAAACAAATCCCTTGGTGATTTGGCCGCGTTTCTACTTTACTTCACCTCCACCTTACCATTCGCCCAGCACACTTGACTCTGGTCCAGCTTTCTCTCTCTCTTTTTCTTTCTCTCTCCACTCTCGCCAGTGTCTAGATTCTTCTTGGAGTTCTTGACGCCAGTAGAAACGTTTCTTTCGCGAGTCGCAGTGTCTCTAGGTCAGGTCTTCTTCGGATTTCGGTTGGAGATTTGAATGATAGAAGAGTGTGCACTCTCTGTGATTTTGTATTTTTTTTGTTTGGAGACTGTCGGAGGACTTTGTTTGGTTTATCTTTGTGGTGAGTATTTTTATTATTTATTTATGAATGGATTACTGGAAGATACTTTGGGGATGCCGTGAGGATTGCAAAATCATTCAGATTTTACCCCACTCAAGTCTCTTGGTTTTTTCATCTATTGGTGCGCCCGAAATGGTTCCTTTTTCTTCAAATATCACTAGTTAAACATTTTTCCATCAATCAATCACATTATAATAAGTAGTAACGTTTTCTCTATCATCTTGTATTTCAAATACGTACATCCTTGGAAATGTGGTTTTGGGTAGAATTCAAAAACTTCCGATTCTTATTTCAACACGAATGGAAGAGTACTTGCGTCTGTATCAAATGGTCATGAATTTAACTATATGGAATGATGTACAGTGTGTTTCAGAATGTAAAAATAGGAGATGGACGATAAAACTCGGAAAAAAATTTTAAAAGCTCATGTAAACTTGTATGTTTCGGTACTATGTTTGTTGAAGTTTTCTGAAAAAAAAAAAAAAAAAAAAAAGTTTTTTTCTCCATAGCAAAAAACTTCGTTGCTGATTTTCGTTCAACTCAGCAGGATCGTTTGTAATATGAAAATGTATCTTTTGGCGCAAATATAGTTTCAGCCTGATTATTCCAATGTTACCTGATTAATTTTGATATTGATGGTGACAATCATTGTGATCCTTTGTTTTTTCATTCGATTTATCAATAGAAGATACTTTCTTGTTCCATGAGCATTTTTGTATCATGCTTAGTCGTCAAGAAAAACTAAATACCTATAATATGAATTCAAATTCTAATGAAGGTTTATTCAAGACATTCATTGAATTCACTCAATATATAGACATTTGGAGATTTTGAGAATTTCTCAATCACCAACCACACTGAATTTTGGTATTATGAGAGCTTATCATACAAGGTGATAATTGAAAAAAGCCAATAATATTTCTAGCATCGAAAACTATAAGCCCCAAAAATAAATGTATATGAACTTTCCATTTTGAAATCTCTTGGAGCGCACGCAAGGAAATTCCTTCGAAGAACATCTTGCGTACTTAGGGAGGATAGGGAGGAGAGGTGAGTGTTGGAATTTGAAATTTCGCGAGTACTCCCGAATAGAAGTTCAAACATCCTGTATACCTCTAGGTACCAGTTAACCTTTGAAACACATCAAACAAAACTGTCATAATGTTCAAGGATATACTTTCTTAGATATTATAAGAAACTGAGATGATGATATTTATGCTATTCGTGTATTATTGTTATTCACATTGTTACAACAGAATTCGTGACAATGTTGAGTGTTCATCACAAAAAAAATTCAAACCAATTAGTTATCATATTCTATTCTGAAACTATTGTAAAGTTCATATCAACAATGGATATTAACCCACTTCTGCATAATAAGAGACTCAGTGCCGGATTAAGCCAGCGCGGGGTCTGTGGCAAATTCGATCAAGGGGCCCTTGGGTATGCTTTAGGTCATCAAGTTTGAAGTATTGAATAAAATAAAACGAAACTATTACTAATAAACTTCGCTGGATATTCCTATATGGGCAAATTTAGAGATAACACTTTCAATATCGACTTCTTCAAGCAAATCATGCTCTATATTTATCAAAGTGAGATGATTGAGACGTTCTTGGACAATCGTGGCAATTTCTATGTTTGGGTTACATGATTCTAAAGAATTATTCAATGAAAGTTTGTGAAATTGTAGTTCCAGAGGCTCCTGTTTGGTGCTCTGAATGACAGTACCCACATTCGTTTTGAGCAGCTCAACGATCTACACTAATTCGTCGCCTATAGGCTGGTTTCCAAATCATCTGTGTGAGCACTGATCATTATTGAGGATTTTTCCAAAATCTCTTTCGCTCTCGAAATACTCCAAGAACAGTAGTAATTTTATGAAATGCTTTCAAACGTTTAGTTGAAGCAGACAGTACGTTATCAATAATGGAAATAAATACCTGAACTTCAAAACGTTGTCCAGGTGTTCGACTTTCAACAAAGTCGTCGAGTGTATTAGAGAGCCGCTGAAATGGTCGTACTTTGTATATCGCTTGATTCCTCGGTACCACCTATGTTTATTGCTGATTCGCGATAGAAAATCAGCGTACGACACCTATCGGAGTTCTCGAAAGCTGTCAAAGCGACATGATTACTTATTGTTTTCATTGGTTCACCTAAGTTTTTTTGTTTTTGCTAATTGGTCATATCATCAAAACAAACCGCTCAGAAGTGTTCAAGTTGCTGCCGTCAGGTGTGGCGACGTGTTACAGTGTTACAGTGCAGGGCCCGTAGCATTTGCTACTCTTGCTACGGGGCTAATCCGGTACTGACTCAATTAAGTGCTTAATCAACTAGGCTAAACACATTACATGCACGAATAAAGATGAAACAAAAGCCCAAGGACGACTATACGTCAATTAAAATAGTGTTGATACACTAAGTTACTGAATATTCAAAGCGTGTAATGAGTAATTTTAATGATGGCTCTAATAGATAAACAGATGTAATAAAATGGTAAATTTGTTATTTCACAAGTTCCGTACCTTTTATACACGGTCAAAACCAACAATTTACTACAGCTGAAGATTATTTTTCCTCAGCAGACCCAACCATTCAATATGGCCACGGTTATTCCGTGTCTTGGTAAGCTGACCAATGACTATATTTTTGAAAAACTGCAAAAATAAACAACCCCTCTGAAGGGGTGGATCGAAATAATTCCACTGGTAGCATCTATATATCTATATGAGATATCCGAATATGTGATCTGATGGAGAAATACGGAATAGAAATGCTCGGTCAGCAAGGATTTTTGAAAGACTGCACGAATAAACTACCCCTCTGAAAGGGTTGATCGAAATAATTCCACTAGTGGCATGTATAAATATATATGTGATATTCAAATATGTAATTTGATTGAAAAATACGAACAAGGAATGCTTGGTCAGCAAGGATCTTTGGAAAACAGCAAGAATAAACTACCCTTCTGAAGGGGTGGATGGGAATAATTTCACTGGTGGCATCTATATTTTTATATAAGATATTCCAATATGTGATTTGATGGCGAAATACGAACCAGAAATGCTCGGTCAGCAGGGATTTTTGAAAAACTGCAAGAATAAACTACCCCTCTGAGAAGGTGGATGGAAATGATTCCACTAGTGGCATCCATATATCTATATAAGATATTCAAATATGCAATTTGAAGAGGAAAGTCGAATCAGAAATGTTCGGTCAGCAATAGTCAGCATACTTATTTTGGCCAGTAAATTATACAACCCCCTAAAATAGTATGATGCCCAAGAGCAGTTAATTCATGAGGTGTCATGATAAAATTTTATTCAATTTCGGCTAATTCCGTTTCCTACAGAAGGTTTTATTCTTAATTAACGAATTCAAGTGGAGTTCTACAACCTTACCTCAAAAAAATAATCAAATCAAAACAAAGTTGGTAACGTTAGTCAACTGAAGATACATGGTGTGAACATGCGTTAACTAAGGCAACAACTACTTGTTTCTCTCTCGTTATCTACCATTTTCGTTCATTTTATGAACTATTGTGGTAATGACTTTGAGTTTCTCTCTTCATGAAAAAAATCAACAACAACCAGTTGTTTACCAATAAATATGATGATTTTGTCTCGAAATTCAAGATACGCCCAAAAAATACAGCTTTCTTGAACAAAAATTTTGTGTTATTTTATCTGGCTCTCTTCCAAAAATCATTATGAAACATGTTGTATTCTGAATTGAATTTCAGTCTTGTTATTCCATATTTATTTTAACTTTCCTCTGTCCTGAACTCCCAAAATTATCCTTTTGGTTTTGGTTGGGTTTCCTGGACAAATGATCAACGTAAAACTCTTGTATCGCAGCCACAAGTTTAATTCAGCGATTAAGTTCCGGATTTTGAATAAAAACAGGTTATGAACCGACCGGTAAACGTGTGGGTATATACGCGATCGCATAATATAGGATATCACATTAATATTCCCATTTGCATAAGCACATTAATCATTCTAGTTTTTGTGTACTTATGGTATTGAGAACGTTTATTTAATTATACGTTTTGCTTCAATGGCACCGTGTTCCCTCCATTCGATAAATGATAAATGTCTATATGTAGCTGAATGGATTATACATGTACCTATACATTGTTAAGTATAGGTATTGCACATATTATTAAGTCAATGGTGAATTGAATTTTTCGAAATCATATTAGTGAAACGTGAAAATAACGTTATTTTCTTCTACGGCTATAATACAAAATTGCTCCTGTTTTACTGTGTTCCATACATCAACCCAGCGGGCACAAACATCCCTGGGATGTTTTGGGATGTTTTGAAAATGTTGGCATGAAGATGTTATTCTGAGACATAATATGCACTGACCAAAGAGGTCTTTGAAGGATATTGAAGTATTGTTTTTGTTCTTCTGTGGCATTTCTTTGTTTGCCTACTGAGAGGTATCCCTGGGATGTTTTGGGATGTTTTAGAAATGTAGGCATGAGGATGTTTTTTCGAGGCGTAATATGCACTTCCCAAAGAGGTCTTAGAAGGATATTGAAAGTATTGATTTTGTTCTTTTGTGCCCTTTATTTGTTTGCCCCACCACAACGTCTCATGCTTACGTCACAATACGATGAATTCTGATTTGTTTTCGATTTTGTTCTTCTTGTTCGCAATTGGCATTCGCGTTTGCAGCGTGTCACGCTTACATCACGCTGCTAACGAACAGAAAGGAATTTGGTGAAGTTTATTGTGTTAGAAGACTCATTTAGTTTGTAATAATGACCATCAGATGCAAGATGTGTTGTTCGGTGCCTCAGTGTAATCAATATATAAAAGTACGAATTCATCAATACACAGCTTCTCCGCAGTTGCGAAATTATGCATTGTGGAGAACATTTCAAAAATTGGGAAACCTATTTCCAATTATATGTCTGTGTGTAGTAAGCACTACTCAGAAACCGATTAAGGAGGTAATTTCATATCAAGAAAATATTTGTATGTTCA